AGTCCTAATAATTAAGTATTCAACTTATCATTCCGAAGTCTGATAGAGTTTGAGGACTGAGCTTGACAAGAAACATCCAAAATCTATAGTGGCGTCTATTTTCACATATGCAAGTTCGATACTTAGACCTAAAACAAATCTAGGGCCCATCCTCCTGTAATCTTCTTCTCTTTCTGCATCTTTGTTTTGCTTTTGAACTTATCTTCCCCATAATACTCTCTGAACACTCTGATTTCCTTCTGACCGAACAATTTTACTTGGACAAACAAATGGAGAAGTGTAGTTCTCCCATCGGTCCTTCACATCCGCGAAGCTTTAGAAGAGCTCCGATTGAATCCTTGGCACCTCCCGGATTGTTCCAACATTCATCTATTTCCTGTTTGAACTGCTTCACATAGTTTTAGAAGAGCCGACTTGATCCTAAGTTTCTTTGCAAGCTTCCTAATAGAAAAAAAAAGGAAAAAAATAATACAAAAATAGTTTTTTTATCAATCGTTGAAAAAAGAATTTAGGTGGTTATCAAAGAATTTTTTTTTTAAACTAAACATTTGGTTGAACATGATGGTTAGATAATGATGATAACCTCTAGCATGCAGAAGATTTCTGAGAGAACAACTTCATCTTCAAAGTTTCTCTGAAGCTGCTTCAATTCTGAAAAGGGCCAAAGATGCTAAGCATTGCCTTAACAAACTGCTCTGCAGAGCCCATTTCATTAATGTTTCCTTTTATAGTTTGTCAGCTTGCGCTTCTTCTTGGTTGAGTTCCATCTTCACCAGTGCTTCTAGTCTGTGTAAGCTCAAAGCCCTCCCCTGCTTCTTCAGATTTTCAAATTAGCACAAATAATACTTAAAAAGTGTAAATTACACACAGAAAAAATGTTTGATAACTCTAAAAAGTCATCCCCTAACTTTACCCCACAGCGAAAGACTTGTTAGTGTCAACTTTTGTTTGGCTAAAAATTACATTTAAGACCCTACTCCATTTCATTCATGTTGGTGAAAAATGTGTGTTATAATTATTGTTCTCTAGCATTCCCTGTTACACAAATATCCCAAAAATCAACCATTATTTTATTTGATTCTAATTATTTAGTTTGTATCCAATTGCTAGTCCCATCCCCTAATTCGTTTAAAGATAAAACAAAAAATCTTACGTCAAAATCAACGTCAAGCATGAAGGGCATTGAAGACATTTAAAAACATATCTGTTTTATGCTGAATCAATCATCGAAAGAGCAAACAAATGCTATGCATTTTTCTTCTCAACCATGTTTGGGAATTTAGGAATGCTCGCATTTCATTAACGGAAAAATGGTATAATTTCTCCCATGTCTAAAATGCTTAATGCGAGTTAATATAAAGCATTTTCTGTATGTTTTTAGGACAACATTGACGAAGTCGCCTTTAGTGATCCCAATGTGCCGAGTGGAAGCCGTCACTCAACGATAAATTTGCTCTGGATAACGGGCTGATCTTCCCAAAGCTCACATCACGGGAAGTTGCACCTCTGATGTCAGCTCTTCGCCCACCTGGGCTGTAGTAGTTCAAGGTGGGTGTTTCGCCCATACCATTTAACATAATATTTGTTTTCTGTTTGTTTGATATGTTTGATATTTTAGTTACGTTCTTATCAATTAAATTGGAAAGTGCTGCACGACCATAATGGAAACACAAAATCATTTTTAAGCACAGATGCTATTTCCTTCTTTCATTGTTTTTGCCTAGAAAAGCATATTGTTGCGGTTAAATCTTCACTAAATTTTTGTTCAATCTATGCTTGCAATCAACAAATTATAGTTTTATGAGTATTACCTTGTATCAATGCATCACAAATTTGCCTCAGCAGTCACCATTCACAGCTTTTGACAATTAGGTTATGTTTTGTAGTCCTAGGTTCAAGGACATGCTTGCTGGAGAAGGGCTCTTGCTCTTTGCTCCCGTCGTTCTTCGTTAAACTTGAAGACATAAAAACAGTGATTCGATCCATCTCCTCATCAAAATCTGTTCCAATGATCACTTAGACTGTTCAAATGCAAAAACATTAATGATAAAGAAGTGAATTATTAAACTTGCGCAAAACGCAAATGGTCTTACTCATGAGCTCGATCTGAGCTTGTCCACACCATAGAACGAATTGGCGCCGGCTCTAAACTTGTCCAATGAAGAGGTTTCAGTTTGGCAATGGAACGTCCCATCTTTCCAATTGCCGTAGCTGATATAGGTGAAGAGGGTGTGGCCTCTGAGAGGTGTTCACTAATATCCTTTTAAAAAATGGGGGCGACATTTGAGGATTACCCACTAATGCTTAGGCGATTAGGAGGCCGACAGGTGCAATTCACATTGTGGTTATTTGATCCTGAAGAAGAAGAATCCCAGTCTTTGGTGATGACGAAAAATGGAGGTATTTGAAACCTCAAAACTCTGGACATAATCCGAGTCGAACAAGAAGATTAGAACAAAATGCGTAAACCTGAGAAGGAAGGGAGGAGGAGGGGAGTGGTGTGGCGGGGGTTTTAAGAAGAGGGACAAGTGCCAGTGTGCGGGCTTGATCATGGGAGGGACATGTTTTAAGTCCATTGAGAGTCACCAGAACAAGTATGTGATCGATCCTTTTGGAGGACCAAAATGTGAAAATTTCCTCACTTGGACTTACCGGCTGAAGCATTGAAAGCCGCACATCGGCTGACTTGAAAAATCGATCAGCGGACGAATTGAAATTCATCAGAATTCATACTTCACTTGGACTTCAACTGTCTCAGAACCGACACAAATTTCACAACAACTAAAACATTATCAGACTCAATCTTATTAATTGGTTCTTCTTTGATTCTTCTTGACTGCAATTCTCAACAACTTCTGTGTTTTGTTTGATATTTTATTCTTCAGTTTCAGAAAAATGCTTGACAGTTACCCAATGAAATCAAGGCAAAAACAAGTCACCAAAGTCCAAATCAGAGCTTACCTTCTTTCTTCACTGAAGTTTGAGAATTTGCATACTTTGAGTCACATTTTGACACTGGAATTTCTTCTTCTTGTGGATCTCTTTCTCTGTCTTCTGAAATCCCGCAAAACACAGATGAGTCCAATGACACACATGCAAAGGTACTCCAACAGGACACAAAACTATACTAGAATTTTTTAATTCACTATACTCCATCTCTACGATCTTCATTTCTAGTCTTTTTTCGCTGCTCGATGGGACTGATGTGAAATGCGATGATGGTATGATGCATTGGAGCAGAAGGTGGAGCTGAGTTGGAGCTAGAGTTGGAGCTTCAATTGGTGATGATTGATGAGAATGGTAGATGGTGAATAACCCATACCCCTGTTCATTTCACTAGTGTTGAGTTATGCTTTGAAGCTCTTCAATCCAAGCAAAGCTCTGAACTTTCAATTCCAGAGCTTCTTTATCTTCACTCTTCATCCTCTCCTGAGACCTTCTCAATAATGCTTCTCTCTGGTAGGCCATATGATTGACCCATGAAGAAATGTAGTCTGTTTCAGCGCATCAAGAAGCATTTGCAACCCAAAGGGGTACTTTGGAATGATATGAACATGAAAGAGGTGGTGTGATGAGAACATCCATTGTGGTTAAATCTGCGAAACCCACAAATACTCTCTTCTTCCAAACCCAAAGTCAAAGATCTTTTTTCTCACTTACGCACACAGCAGCCGCACTTTATTGAATTCGGTGTGTACTTTTTAAATTTTTTTTTTTTTTTTTTTTTTTTTTAGAATAGTGATATCTTTTTGGATTTTAGAGTAACTTTTTGACTTTTTAGCTTATATAGGATAACCCAAACCAGCCCTTAGTAATAGTAACAATGAAAGAAGAGGTGAAATAAAGATTGAGAACCAATAACTGTCTAAGAGTGAACATTTTCGTTATTTAGGATCGATTATCACAATAACGGGAGAGATTGATGCAGATGTGGCCCATAGGATTAAGGCGGGATGGTGTAAGTGGAGAAGTGCGTCTAGAGTACTGTGCGATAAACAAATATCCACTAGACTTAAAGGTAAGTTCTATAGAACGGCTATTAGACCAGGGATTTTGTATGGGACGGAATGCTGAGCAACCAAGAAACATGTAGATAAGATGAGTGTGGCTGAGATGAGAATGCTAAGGTGGATGTGTGGCAAGACTAGACAAGACAGAATTAGGAATGAGTGTATTAAGGAATGGGTAGGAGTAGCACTGATAGAAGATAAGTTGAGAGAGAATCGATTGAGATGGTTTGATCATATTCAACGGAGACCAATAGAGGCAGTAGTGAAGAGATGCGATGCTGTAACGGTAGATGGAAGTGTTAGGGGACAGGGTAGGCCTAGATTAACGTTGGTTAGCATTGTAAATAAAGATATGGATCTACTTAATTTGACTAACGAAATGATCTTTGATAGGGCCGCATGGCGAAAAATGATTCATATAACCAAACCCATTTGATGGGACTTAAGGCTTGGTTTGGTTTGGTTTGGTTTAGTTATGACATTATTTTAGTTATAACTCATGAGATTTTTAGTTATATGTCATATTGTATTTGGTTATGACATATAAATATATATATATATATATATTTAGTTATGACTCATAAAATATGAAATTATACCATTTTCTTCTTTAATTATAAGATGCATATAGTACACACCATTTGAGGGGGTGTACCATAGTGTTTTCCTAAATAAAATCTTGAGTTTTTAAACCAACCAACCTTTTCAAGTTCAAGTCATATTCGACCCATTAAAAGCTCACCTGATATTGTTATGTAAATCAATTAAATTTGAATACAATTTTAAGTTCATTAAGTTTTTTAGTTAAGATTGAACAACTAATTACTCAACTTGATAAGCTTAGGTGCATTATAAAAAATCAAACTACTCAAGAGCTCGACTCATGTTCTGTTCATTAAATGTTCGTTTGAAATCGGCTCGTTACGTAAAAAAATCAAGCTTAAACAACTTACTACCTAGCTTGTTTTCAGCCCTACTAAGATCGTCTTCTTTGTTCTGATAACCATGTATAGCAATGATACACACTGAAGTCTTCAACATGTGTTCTCATTCACATTTAACTGAATAGATTACATGGTATATACATGAAGTATAGAGAGGAAATTATTTAGACTCTCAAAGTGGGCAGGGGAGAACCGAACTGAATGAAAAAACTCTAGCCAACTAGATTAGTCCTTTTGATTGGGCTCCATCTTCAATTAATTCAAATTGTTGTAGACTGCTTTGATAAAGAAAAAAATCACGATGGCAAAGGAAGAACATGCCTGGTCTCACCTGATATGCTGATAAATCATGATCAATGACATTTAGAGTGGGAAGATAGGCGTCTTGTTGGATACCCTTCTTTTCTTGCTCATACACAACATGAATGCCAAACTCTTTTAGATAAAAAGTTGACCACAGAAACACTGAAACATCCACTTCATCCCCACATTCAAACTGATTCCCCATGTTCCAGTGGCTTAACCATATCATGTCTTCATTGTCTTCTGGAATGCCTACGAATGTTGGGATATAGCTCCACTTCAAATGCTTCGTGTTGTTGTTGGTTTTAATACAAAACTCATTCCAGGACTTATTTCTCGGATCATTGTTCTTTCTTTCAGCACGTGCATACACAACACAAACATTCAAGCCTTGGATCTTGAGATTTGGAAGTAAAGGCACATTAAAACAAATTGAGAACCCTGTACTCTTATTGTTGAACCACCTTGGAACCTCACTTCCTGGAAGAAAAGTGCTGAATATATTAAATTCATACAGTCCCTGCACCAAGAAGGTCAAATTAATTAGAACTTACACGTGCGTGCACATGTCTGCAGGCTTGCGTGTGTGTGTAATGTGTATGAGAGAGAGAAAGAGAGAGCACCACCTGGAGGGGAAGTTTCCTTTTTGACAATGCCATATTATTAAGAAGTTCCACCTTGACTTCTCCTATGACTTCCAAGTTGAACAAGCCCAATTTGTTTATAATTTGTGCATCGATGTTTACAATGGGCACTAACTTGAATAATCCCTGAACTTCAACTAGTTTGTCACAAGAATTTAAGATCATATCCAGTGAACTCAAAATGTTTGGTAGGTTTGTTACCATTTCCAACGACCTGCACTTGAATAGATCCAAGTCATTTAAACTCATTGGAAGCTCTGGAAGGGATTGGAGTCTTGTGCAACTATCTAAAGCAAGTGACTGCAGCTGAGTAAGGCAGTTGATGCTATCTGGTATGCTACAAATCGGATTCCCACTCAAATTCAAGTTCCGCAACAAGGACAGCACACCAATATCCCTTGGCATAGCATCATCAGAAATGTTAATGTAAATTGTATTAACCTACCACTACCACCTACCACACACACTCACCTCCTCACCTACTCCTCACCTAACCTACCACTACCACCTCCACTTCACCCCCTACCACTTCACCTACTACCTTCTTCTCTTCTATATATATGATCATTGTAAACATAACACAACAATCTTGTAATACAAATCAATCAATAATATACATCAATTATTTTACAAGAAAGATTGCAATGTGCAAGACTAAAGGTTAATAAGGAGTGTGACAAGGAAGCCAATGAAAAGCTGATGGGATTCGGACACTGTCTTGGTTTCCAAACCCATGACGAGAAGAATGAGCACCAAAAATTCTTCTCATCGGTGGTTGACTGTGATTGACATATAGCAGTTTTGTCTGCATTGAACACTGTCAAAGATTCCAAGTTGCCTAGCTCTGTAGGCAACTGATTGAGCTCTGAGCAACCATAGAGGATGAGTTCTTTAAGGAATTTCAGGTGACAAATTTGTTGTGGAAGCTTCCTAAGTCTTCTGCAGTATTTCAGATTCAACAAGACAAGTCTACTTAATTCTCCAATGGATTCATGAACCTCAATCAGATTTATGCAATCTTTAAGAATTATCCTCTCCAGATTAGGGATCTCTGAAAAGTCTGGGGTATTGATCAGGCGGTGAGAATGACTGAGATTGAGGATTTTCAGTAATCTGAGCAACTATAGTAAGAAAATGAATTAAATTCAATGAATATTTTATACTAAACCCCAAAAATTTGAAACAGGAAAATATATTGTTATACCTTTGTTCCACTCCAAACCTATTCCAGTCTGCTGTAATGCATGTCAAGTCCAACCAAGCTCTCCAAAGGAAACTCATTGGGTATATATTTTGAAGGGCAACCACGCCAATACAACCATCTCAACTTCTTGGGAAATTTCTCATAATGTCCAGTGACCCGTACATTATAGAGTTGAAGCAGTCTCAGTTCGCACATTTCTGAAAATGCATCAGTTTGTATGTCTACTTCTTTTGATGTGGCAAATGATTCTCTTAAGGCAGAATATATAGGGAAGGAAGAGAAGAAGCTCAGTCTGCTTCTTTTCTCAGGTTCCTCAGGTGACTCTTGTCGTATTACTTCTCGTGCCATGGCTTGAAGCAACTGATGCATCATTAGCTTGTTATTTTCATCAATTGTTAAGAGGCATCTATCAACAAGATTGTCAATCCCTACTCTTGTGTGGAAATCACATCCATCTAGTATTGAAATAATGAAGTCTCTGTCCTTTCTAACAAAGAAACAAGCAACATCTAGGAATAGATTTCCATCGTGGTCATCTAAAGAGTCATAACTTTTTTTAAGGATTGTTAAGAGGCATCTATCAACGAGATTGTCAATCCCTACTCTTGTGTGGAAATCACATCCATCTAGTATTGAAATAATGAAGTCTCTGTCTTTTCTAACAAAGAAACAAGCAACATCTAGGAATAGATTTCCGTCGTGGTCATCTAAAGAGTCATAACTTATTTTAAGTTTTTTAAGGATCTGGCTATCAGGAATTGCTTCCAATTTTTTTGATGCACTTTCCCACACATCTACATTTTTATTGTGTAAGGAAGAGCCCAAAACTTGAAGAGCTAAAGGCAGCCCTCTGCAGTACTGCACTACTCTTTTTGAGTGCTCCACGTAACCTTCAATGGGGTGGTCTTGTCGAAAGGCATGCAAACTGAAGAGCTCAAGTGATTCATCATCATTTAGCTCCTTAACCTTATGTACCTTACATAGTTTTTGTGCCTTTAGCAACCGCTCACGTCTAGTTGTTATGATAATTTTACTTCCCGGAGAAAACCAATCTTGCATCATGAGTACCGCATTTAATTGCTCCACTTTATCCACATCATCAAGCACAAGAAAAACTCGTTTGCAGCATATAGCATCTTTGATCTTAATAATACCTTCATCAACACTGTGAATTTTCTTCTGTTTCCCTTTCAAAATATCCTGAAGTAGCTTTCTTTGCAAACAAACCAAGCCATCGTGTTGTTCTGATATTTCCTTGATATTTGCAAGAAAACTGCTACCTTCAAATTTGTCGAAGTTAAGATTATAAACTGTTTTGGCAATGGTTGTCTTCCCAATCCCACCCATCCCACATATCGTCACAATGCCAACATCAGTTGACTCATCTTGTAACCAGGAATTAATTTCTTCTATACGAGAATTAATTCCAATTTGGTAGGGGCCTACACTCAAGACTGTGCGATCCAATTTATTTGCAATCTCCTTCACAATTTTCTGAATAAATCTTGCTTCATGCCTTCAAACAACAATTAAAAAGGAAATATCATAGTTTCCATGTCATTAGTTGAAATCAAATAAGAATTCAAATGTAAAAAGAAAAAACAAAAAAAATGAAAAATCATAATGATTAGATTTAGCCACTATAACTTGAATGCAAACAAAATTAAGTAAATGTCATGATTCTTAATTCTGGGCACTAATCCTCTGATGCAAGCAATTTTGATGTTAATATTACATGAAAAATATTTTTTGATAAAAAAAGTAAATCAACGGAAAATCTAAGCTTATACAAAAATCACAAGTACTTGACCGATTAATTTTTAAGTCAATAGGTCCTTTTTCTTTTCACAATAATTATGATATTTACTTTTTTAAATTTTACTAAACTTTTGCCAACTCTTTTTTCGTAAATCATATCAATTTAATTTTTTTTTTTTTTCAAACTATTTGTGCTATAATCTTCATGGCCCAGCATTTTGTTGGATTTTCCCTGGTGAGATGCCTAACCCTGGGATGGTCCATGTAAAGTGGCACCCTAATGCGAGAATTTTATTTTGCATTGAACACCATTTGATTTTGCAAAGTAAATAGAAAATAGACAAATTTTTTGGTAAAAATTAAAATGCATGTGAACTTTTGAAGAAAAAAAGGAGAGTTTTGACTGTGTTTATTAATCTAATGCAAAAGAGTAGTACTCTTTCGTCATGTTTGATTCACAATACTAATAGTGAGGTATTAATAATCCTATTAAATTAGTGTGGTATTAACTATATATCCTACCCCTACCCCATTACTAATAATCCTACAAATTTGTTGGATTAATTATCCATTGGATTAATAGTCCTAAACCAAAATGTTAAAACAAACATAGGATGATTGGGCCCACGGATTAATAATCCTAATCCCATACTTTAATCCTTCCAATCAAACATGTCCTTTCAGTCATAGAATTTCAAATCTTTTAGACAAAGTCATTTTCAATATCTAGTCTGTGTTCAAATAGACAGTATCATATGGCCTATGTATACACCTTTTCATAAGGGTTGTGTCCCGTTAATAAAGATTGGAACTCTTGATCAGAATGGTGCCTAATAAATAAGTTAGAGAAAATTACGTACCCATCTTCTAAGATCATCCCTGGCAAATCCGCAACTTCTCTCAGAGCTTCCCTCCATGTCTCTAGCTTTGCAAGCCTCTCTTGTTTTCCATCATCGGTCTCTGCCTCAAATCCCTTCTTGTGTTTTTCAAATGCTTCTGCAAAGCTCCCTGTTTGGTTCTTGACAAGGGATGGATCCACGTGGTAGAATACAGGAAGTATTATATGATTGACAGTTCTCTTGCGTTCAAGTATCTTCACAAGTTCATTAAGGCACCACTTAGAAGATGCATAGTCTTTTGACAAGACGATTATTGAAATTCTTGACTGTTGGATTGCCTTCTTTAGGTTTGATTCAATATCCTCCCCTCTCTCAAGTTCGTCATCATCTCTAAACGTGTGAATCCCTGCATGCACCAAAGCTGTGTAAAGGTGATCAGTGAATGTCCTGCGGGTATCTTCACCCCTGAAGCTCAAGAAAACGTGATAAGAAAACCGAAGCATCGATGAGGAGGCTTTTTGGACTTCTGCAACAGTAGTGTTGGAACAAAACTATACTATATGGATTAAGAACCTGCATACAGTATGCAAAGGCACCATGGATGTATAAGACGTATATATCACAAAAATGGATAAACAATACTTATAGGTTCTACAAATTTGGATTAAGAGAAGTCAATGAAGTTCCAAATAGAGACCAAAGGCTACAAATAAATGTAAGATAACAGATTAGTTCATGAATTTTACTCAAGAGACGAGTTGTATGTGAAAAAAGACAAACATTAAAAAAGAACAATTCCCTTTGTTCTTTGATGCAACTCTTGTTTTGGTGTTAACTAATTACCACTTTATCTTAACTATAGAAAACAAACTATGAATCTTTGGATACGGGAACCAAGCACACAGAAGCTGAGCTACAACCAACTTTTTCCAATTTCAACAGGTTTTATATCAAACCCACACTCAAATACTTAATCCATTCCGATTTACAGTTTTGAACAAGCTCATATCAAAGGTACTTCGGTATCTTGGAAGTTAGCACAATGAGATTAATTTCGGTATAAGGAAAAACACAAAGAAACTCAATATAGTGGACTGTTTTTAACAGATCACCCCTCTTAACACACTGAACCTTTTACCCCAAAACCCATAATTCATTGTTTCCATACTTCTATCAGAACAGAGGAATTTCTCTACACAGTTTTAAGAGAAATACTGTATAAATATTCAAATCAAAATTTAAAATTACCATTCTGATCCAACAATAGGGAAAATTTTGAGGTTACCATTCTACCTTTAAAGGGAGGACCCATTACATAGATTCCAAACAGGCTAATACAAACATATATATATTTTTTAGCACAAGAATAAAGGAATTGTTGTAATGCAAGCATTAATAAAAGAAAACCTTTGAAAATAGGAATTTGATAAAAAAAAATTTTTTACAATAATGGGGAAAAGGAATAAAAAGAAAGAAAATACTTTGTAAAACTAAGTAGATATTAGCTATGAATTAGACAATAGGATCTCTTATTCCCATAAAATAAGAGAGTTATAATTCTCACCTAACTTATATACCAAACATGAGAAATGAATTCTCTCTTTTTTCTATTTTTCTTTCCATTAGTTATTTTTTCTACCAAATCATTCAATCCAAACAGAGTGTAATTTTCTGAATTCAGCTTGTTCAAACAAGAACTCAACTTGACTCCATTGATTCATAACCCAACTAGTTTGAAAATAAAAAAAATAAATAAAAATCAATAATAGAAAAAAGACTAAAATATTCTAGTTTCCATTAGTTAAAACTAATGGAATTAGGCAGGTGGTTGAGGATTTATTTTTTTTGTTATAAGAGCCGAACCCTCTTTTTTTTTTAACGTAAAATAATAAAAGAGAGCAATTTACTAGATTTTTATTTAGCAATATTACGCTCACTCTGTAAATGAAGACTGTTCTGGAGCCTGTGTGTATGATATATATAAACATAAGATTTTATAACAACATCAACAAAGAGACTAAACGAAACTAAAATCCCAATAAAGTAAAGCACAGATCATATCAACAAAGAGATTAAAACGTATCAAGATGGATCAAAACAAACGAGAGCCCTCAGATGAAGAAAACTTACCTGGATTTTGCTGATGAAAAATCCTTCTAGTATTTTAGTGTAGAGCAGTCCAACCAAGATTTTAACAATTATGTGTTTGTTGTTGGTGTGTGTCGAGGAAGAGAAAATAAATAAATAAATAAAGAGAAGAAATGACGAAAGAGAAAAGATAAGCACAGAAGTGTTTGTTTGTGAAAGAGAGCAAATTAAAAAGGAGGGAAAAAGTCTCACTCTTGAATAGTTTATGAGGAATTATAAATTGGAAGATTCTCTCCTCGTCCATAAATTAAACGGTGCTATTTAGCCCTCGTTTTGGAACAAATTAATTTAGTAATTTTTTAATTATTTAACTAAAATATGAGTTAAAAAAAACTAATATGTTTGAGATGATTTTTTGACTTTTTACGAAAAGATGTGCAAAAAGTAAAGTGAAATGAGAATCTTTAACTTTTTAGAATGGATTGTTGACTTTTTAATTAATTTAATAACTTTTTGACTAAAAAGTTCGATTGCCAAACGAGGCCTTAGATTAGTGGGGTTGAATATTTGTTCTGTTTCGATAATTTATATTATTAGTTTTGTTAAAACTTTGTGTATTTTATTTATATAAAAATTTAAGTTAAATTGATAATTATAATCTATTCAATTTATTATGTTTATTATCAAAAAATAAATAATAATTATGTTTTTAAAATAAACTTTTTTTGTTTTCCCTCCGTTAGACTTGTGCTCTCTTGGCTGATCAACAGATCAATAGGTCCCCTCAAGCTTGACTTCAAATTATTTGGACCCAACTAGCGAGTTAGGTACGAGCTTGAGTTGAGTTGTGTGCCTTCAAATTAAATGATGAACCTCAATTTTAAATTAGTGAAAAAAAGTAAGTATTTACAAAATATAAAGGTTTAAGTGCTCTTTGTGCTCTGGTGCAAGTAAGGTTACAATTTTTATTTTGTACAAAAAACACGATTATACCTTCATGTTTTTTGTAATTATTTTAATATTTTTTTAGTAATTTGCAATTTTTTCAATAATTAAAAAAAAATCTCAATCTCAATCCAAAACTGATATATTTGGATCATCTATGGAGATTTTGTACTTCTAGATCATGTGGAACTTTGCACTGTGAAGTGCTACCTCATAAGTGAGAGAATATGGCAGTTGCGATTGAGCCACGTCTGTGAGAAAGATAAGGCTAGTAGAACGATATCGTCTTGGTCGATTTCTTACAAATCCAAATCCATCTCTTTTCATCATCACAATATTTTTCAACTTTTTTTGGTGCCATATAAAATATTTATAGACAATAATGACGGTGAAAAAAAGTGAGATCAGAAAAAGAAAAAAAGAAAAATAATTAATTGCATTAGGATCACCCCTCATTTATGAATATGGACTCTCTTAACTATGAAAATCGTATAAATACACTTATTTTAGAGATGGTTTAGAGGAGGTCTATAGGAAGTGAATGTAATATATTTTTATAGTTGAAAAAGATCAAACCATAGGAGTTCATAAATGAGGAACGTAAAATGATATTTACTAATATTGGAGGGGCTTTGCCTCGGATATGAATCATGGAACCCACTAACAGCGAATACTAATTAAACATATAATTATCTAGTGCGATTAAACTAATCAAGAGCATTGAATTTGAATGCTTTTGCTTTGATTAGTTTAATTTTTAATTTTTTATACAACTTGCAGAATATTACACAAAGGACATGCACTGAGCTAATTAGAGCCTTTTTATTCTATTCTGATAGTCAATGAAGGCTCTGATCTTAACTTCAGAAAATTGGCTACCTGTTGGGTCCACACCACAGAATTTATTTTTTACTAGTTAAAATAAAATATAAATAAGGTGCATTTTTTTTATTTTGATTAATTATTTTTGATTTATTATTTTATCTATCTATAAATACAAATTATTTAAAGAAACTCTTAAAGCTACTCCAATGCGTATTCAAATAAAACTTATTGAGTAAAACAAGATGGTGTTTGGTTTTCATTTTTGGCTAACTAATCACAAAATGACAAAAAAAAGTTAAAAAATCACAAAAAGACAAAAAAATCCACCATTCCAAAGCTAAAAAGCTAAAAAAGCCAATCAAGAATACCAAATGAACAAAAAAGTCTCAGGCTAAAAAACTAAAAAAGTCAACTAAAAAAGTCATTGCCAAACGAAGGCTTTTATTTTTTACTGCTCCAATAAGCTCTTTAAATGTCAAGTTAATTTAACTATCTTTTTTTGCTCTCTACTTGAAGAGAGCCATTAAAAACTCTTCAAATTTCAAGGAATACTCTATCTTCTTTCCCTTCATCTGCAATACTGATGTAGTATAATATAAAAGGCCAGGCGTGTCTCCAATCCACACTGGACGGTGTTGTTGGGCCCGTGAGGCCCAACAGGATCTTATTTCGATAATCCGAACCGTTTAATGTGTAGTGCTCGTCAAGTACTTTATCCTTATAACAATTCATGTGGATTGAATATCGATAGCTACTTGATTAGATCAGATTTTTGTCAACAATTTATTTTGAAAATTATATTTACCGTTGACAGAAATCTAATCTGATCATGTAGTTATCGAAATCCGATCAACATGATTTTTTGCAAAGACAAAGTACTCAACAAGTTCTACACATTGAATGGTTCAGATCATCGAAACAGGATCCGTGGTGGGCCCCCATGGGCCCAATAGTACATTTCAGTCCGATTTCGAACTAGAGAGAAGCATGACCCAATATAAAACACTATCAATTAGAAATTAGTTTGGGCAAAGAGGTAGATAGAGAGTAGCGTTAGAGTAATTATAAGTGACTAGCTAAAATAAAATTATACTCTTTATCTCCTTTAGCTAGCAAAAAATGACTAGCAGCAAAAAATGACTAGCATGGTTGAAGCTGCTCTCAAGTCTCTTCAAATATAATTAGTTTGGAAAAATTTTGCTAACATAAATATTGGAAATGTGATTAATTAAAGTTCAAATTTCTGTTGGGGAATTTTCAAAGTGGGTTCTCAAAATTTATTGTTTAGTTTTTGGGTATTTTCAAAACCTTGTTTTTCTTTGGAAGGCTTGAAATAAGCTTAGGGACTTTGTCCCACATCAGAAAGAGAGGAAAACATGGAGCACTTAATAAAGTGCTACATGCAATATTCCTTTGAATATGAAATTGTGAGGTGAAAGCTAATGTGCATGCACTCACACCGCAATGATGGTGCTTTACACTATCCATGCACGCACACGCTCGCGAGCATGGCGTAGGCTGTGTGGCGTTTGATGATGCACTTTGCACTTAGCAAGGCATCATGAGGGCACTTTCCTATTTGCATCGAATAGGTTGGAGCGATGACGTTGATCCAACGTGGCATGGGTGACGTCGAATACAGTCAGCTTCGCGTGGTAATGATGTGGCGTCTATTGGCGATGAGTCAACCAATCAATCGAACGATTGCGTATCCCATCTGGAGCGGTTTGATCATAGCCACTAATTGGAGATGCGTGCAATCGTACAGATGAGATTGCACCCAATCGTGATCTGGTATGATCAGTCAATGCATCATCTATTCAGTGTGAGAATGATTTGCACCATAGATCATCGATCCAATGGTCAGATCTGATCGGATGCGATCAAGAGACATGACCATTCGATCCGATGCATCAAGGCCTATAAATAGGCTACAAAATCAGCCATTTCAACCCATCTAAAAATTCAAAAAGCATTCATGCAATTCTCTTTCTCCCTCCCTCCCTCTTGATTTAGAGTTTTCGATCAAGAGTTTCTTAAGCAAGTTTCTGCTTTTCTTACTGGTAATCAAATTCTGCAAACGTGATTATTAGTGTCTTGGTTTTCTTGATTATATCAAGAGTATTCTGATCTTCTGTCGTCAGTGCAGACATCGATAGACTGGATCTTTAGATTAGGTTTCATTATATCTTGGAGGCGAATTTGCTGTAACCCCCTACACACCTTTTGGTGGGTGCAAATATTGTCTTTAGGAAAACAACTAAATAACGCGACTTGAAACACCAAATTTATGTTTTACATAGACAAGATCGTCGCCAAGTTTTAAAGACCCAAAGACCACTAACTGAAGAATTTAAGACGAATTGTTCCAATAATCTAAAGACAATTTTTAGATATGGCAATGTCTATTCAGAAAATGACTCAATATTTCGTTTGACCGATTTGATGGAGGAAATTTCCGATGCCGGCAAAAGAATATGTACTTTTTGCTCACCACTCTCAAAGTGGTCTATGTGCTGCTAACCCCATATCTAGCAGAGCAAGAAGACGAGACTATGGAGCAAACCCGTACCAGAACCAAATGGGAGAATGGCGACTACATTTGCTGAGAACACATTCTGAATGCGCTATCAAACTCTCTGTTCGATGTGTATCAACATCTGAAAACGGCAAAGCAACTCTAGGACATATTACAGCCAAAGTACCTCACAGAGGATGTCACCAGTAAGGAATTTATTGTTAGTAATTTTATGCATTTTACTATAATTGATACAAAGTCCATTATAAAACAATTCCATGAGATCCAACACATTTTGAGTTAGTTTCGACAAAAGAATATGAACATAGATGAATCTATTGTAGTTTCATCTATAATAAAGAAACTGTCATCTTCTTGGAAGGATTTTAAGAAAACTCTGAAACACAAAAATGAAGATCTAACTTTAGAGGAATTGGCTCACACCTCCAAGTTGAAGAAGAGTCAAGATTTCTTGAAAGTAAAAATAACTAATTGGCTCAGACTTCCAAGATTCACATGGTGGATGATGGCAAGAGGTTTAACAAAAAGAAGCGTAAACGCGACTCGCAACCTGAGAAAGATGCTAAGAAGCCAAAAGGCGCTTGCTGGCCCTGTGGCAAGCCAGGGCACTTCAAAAATGAATGCTGATCATACAAGAAAAAGCCAGAAGAATCAAATGCCAAGAACAAGTTTGTGGTTGTTGTATCCGAGGGAAACATGCTCGAAGATGCTGCTGACTGGTGGATTGACTCAAGAGCAACAAGGCATGTCTGCAACGACAAGAGCCGTTTCACTACTTATGAACAAGTAAGTGATGGAGCAGTTCTCTACATGGGCAACTCTTCAACTGTTGCTATCAAAGGCAAAGGGACGGTGGGTCTAGAGTTCACATCTGGAAAAGTCTTAAGTCTTAATGATATTTATCATGTA